TCTCATTCCAGCGGCACTATTCTGTAAAGATCCACGCATGGGGTTTTACAGAATAGCACTGCTGATCATAGATCATAAACTGTATGAGTGCCGGTTTTTATTTAAATCTGTTCAGCCATTTTTGCGTGATTGAATAACAAATAGTAAAAACTAGTTTTATGGGAATATCACAGAAGTCTTATATAATTAATATATAAATATAACTATTGTTTTTGTTTTGTAAGTAATCGTTATCCACGGGAACTCTGCCGATAAACTATTATAATAGTTTGGCAGATATTTTCATGTCTAAACAATGTATGTACTTAGAAAAATAAATTAAAAAAAAAATATATATTAGGTCGACCTGTATGTAACTATGCCAGTGATTTTAAGTTGGGCATCTACCGTGCACAAAGGCTGTACGGTAAACCACGCAGCGGTGTACTTAGGGTCCCGTACATTTGCGGCAGGACAGGCGTATGTTGCCCTAAGTAGAGTAAAATCAATAAGTGATCTCCAAATTGAAGAGCTAGATTGTTCTAAGCTGACAGGTAAAACACCATGCAATACAAACGCACTGACGGAGATGGAGAGGAAACGGGCTCATTTGCCTACTTAAAACAAATGTATAAATGTTAAAAATATTTCGTTATCAAAGACTAATAAGTATAAAATAAATTAATAGTTTAAAAAAAACTAGAAAAACAAAAAATAAATTATGGATCGTTCAAGTTGTCTTGCCCTGTTTCTGGGCTGAAGTGTATATTATGTGCTTTTAATTACAATATTTGACTTTAAAAGCGTGGGGCGCTGGAACAGGAAAAACTTTTTGTATAACTTGCAGAGAAATCAATTTAAGCGATGTTACGGGAAGCAGGTTACACAGATTGGCGCTCCATAACTGGAGTTGCAGCACGACTAGTATTCCCTTAGATATTCTATTCATTATAATGATGAACTAATATCTTGATTTCTCAGCATCGTGTTCCAGCACCCCACGTTTTTACAATCAAATATTATAATTAACAGCACATAGTTTACACTTAGCCCAGAAATAGCGACAGCTTGAACAATCCATAGTTTATTTTTAGTTTTTACGTGCATTTATAAAAGCGTGTTTTTCTAGTTTTTTTTAACTATTTTTTTTTACAATCCGGGCTGAAGAAGCAACCACCTTGTTTGTGGCAAAATGGTGGATGGCTGGTGTGACACGTAAAACTGCTGCACCAGTTATCAATCACGCGACTGAACTGCACCAACATTTTTCTAAAGTAAAACTTTTATTACGTTGCTTTTTCACAGTGTTTTTTTTTGCCCCAAAAATGTGACATCCGCTTTTTATCGAACATTTAGGCCTGTATTACAGAATGACAACTAAGTGTTGATCTTTACTTGAGTACAGTTAGAAAGGGATATCGGTATGTGCTATATATAGCGATATCCCTTTCTAACTATGGTCAAGGCTAGATCAAATACTGAGACTCTTTCTATAATACGGGCCTTAGACACTATAGGTTATTGCAAATGCATTAGTCGAACAGCCAGCAGGCCAATTATGCTCGCTAATTGTGATATTGTTTTGATGTCTATTTCACATTACGTATTATGCTCTCCGAAAAATGCGATATCAAAATGACATCACCTGATGATGATCAACTCTATAAAATGATATCAACTTAAATGCGTATTACGTTCAACTTTTTGACTTAAAATAGTATCGAATAAACGTCAAAAATGTGATACAGGATATGATATTGATATGATCTTGATGTGACATAGGAATGTTTCATAATACCATATAAAAACAATGTCAACTTGGCATCAACATCATATTGACATCACATTAGAATTTTATTACTGAAGCATAATTGACCCGCAGGAGTCAATTCCGTATAGTTAGTTGATTTAAAAAAAAAACTTTAATATTACGTGACCTCGACGGTCAAATCTCTGAAAATAATTCCTACAGTGAAAACTATGCGTTTTTGAATTTGATTTGTATTAAAGGCTTATTAAAACAATTCTTAGAATCCCAAAAAAAAAAAGTTGAATCTAAATAATTAATTATTTTTATAGCTTTACTATGTTGAAGTAGAACCTCTGTACAAATAGGTTCCTTATAATAAGGTTTGTTACCCACAAAAATCTTACTTTCAACTTCGGCTTAGGTTTTTAGAAAACAATTTTTATGTACTGTGGCCAAAAATCCAAATCAAGGGTTGTCCATAAAAGGTCACAAGATTTTATTTTATTTTTTCCGCAAACTCCTTCTTATTATATGCTAACTTTTTCGATGGTAACTGGTATTGGATCTACAAAACAGAGGCCCAAGCTCGAGTTTTGACAGCTCAATCATATTGTCATCGTCTTGTATGAAAACAAGGGTGCTGCTTAGTTTTCATACAAAATGTTTACGATTACGAAGCTGTCAAAATTAGGTGGAATCTCTAGTTAAAGTACCTACATATTAGGAGCCTATTAGAAGTGTTGTTTGTTGTATATAACATCACTGATGATAATTCTTTGTACCTACATCGTTTTAATATATTTCTTTTCACCGTATTAATGTAATGCTATGTCAAACTTTAAATAAATATTTATTATTTATAAGGCTAATCACGGCAACAATTTATCACCAAATTTTTATTTATGTTGTTGGTCGTAACTGCTCAAGCTTGTTTACGGCACGATTTTTCGATTCGATTTTTCTAAAAAAGGTTAACTTTACGGTAAGGTAACTTTTCTAAAAAAACAAAATTGGGTGATTTAACGACCTCCGTGGCCGGGTGGTTTGTACGCCGGGTTTCATGGTTTAGCCGACTGAGAGGTCCCGGATTCGAATCCCGGTGGGGGCAGATGTTTGTATGATGAACTGCATTTATACTCCTGTCATGGATATTTAATTTGTATTTCTATATAAATATACTTATATATGTACAGTATATGTATTCTATCCGTTACCCTAATATCCCATAACACAAGCCTTATAGTGCTTACCTTTGGGGCTAGGTTAATTGGTGTCAGTGTTGGTGAATTTTTATTATTGTTTAATTTAAAATCATATCATTCTATGTTTTTACTTAAAGTAAAAAAATGCCGTAGTTTTATCAAACCACGATGCAAATGAAACTTTCAAAGTATTTTACATAGGTTCAAATTTTTTTCGGGCTTATAATAGTGGCCAATACAAAAAGGTACTTCCTCGGCTAGGAATCGAATCCAGCGGCCGCCAGCGGTGATCTCTCGTCCACTGGACCACGACGACGATGCTATAATAACAACTAAAAATTGTATGCAACATGCTAAAGATAAACGAAAGAAAATGTAACGTTGTAATAAAATAAATAAATTTTTCCAACACTCACACCAATAATTATGCCTAGCCCCAAAGTAAGCACTATAAGGCTTGTGTTATGGGATACTAGGGTAACGGATAGAATACATATTCTGTACATATATAAATACATATTAAACATCCATGACTGGAGTACAAATGCTCGTATTCATCACACAACCATCTGCCCTCACCGGGACACCATGTAACCCGGCGTACAAACCACTCCACCACGGAGGTCGTCATAAAAGTTTCACTTTAATATTATGAGGTGACAAAAAGTAAGAATACTGTCAACACCATGTTAGTATTACAATCGTATCGTCGTGACATTGTTTAAAAGTTTCCGAAGATACTGGCAGCGTTCCCCCTTTGAATAGCTAAACTATATAATTCTTTATCTGAGGTAGCTGCCAGCTCTTCGGAGCGTTTAAAAGTTTTTTTTTGCCAGATACGTTCAATTCCTATCTATATACGGGTGTTTATACTTACACAGGTTTCATGAATTGAAAAAAAACTAAAAGTAAAAACTTATCAAACTTATTTTGAATTAAAATAAAATACAGTTTTTAAGAACTGTTTTAAATGTATCAAATGTATTAAGTGTTATAAGGTACATTTCTATTTTTAAGCATTTAACTGCTAGATTTTTAAGTTTTTGCTTAATAAAAACAATAACGTTACTTTAACGTACCGCATGGATAGTGAAAGATGCGGTCTGTTATCCCGTATGCTGCTTGGACAGCGTGTTTTTTTTTTAGTTCTAGTAAAATTTTCTTTACAGTAAACATACAGTTTTCGATCTCCGCTGTGCTTCGGAAGGCATGCCAAAATGCTTGGTCTGCTGTCGTGGAAGTTCTGAAACCTTAGCAGTGGCCGGACTTATGATCATTCATTCATTTTCATCATTATTAGCCTATTAATGTCCCCACTGCTAGGGTACAGGCCTTCCCTATGGATGGAATAGGGAGTTTGGGCTATGACCCACCACGCGGGCCCAGTGCGGATTGGTGGGTGCTAACGACTGCAGATGCCATGCTTAACGTGCCTTCCGAAGCACGGAGGAGCTCGAAATAGTAAATTTTTGGTCACCCATCCAATGATCGAACACTGCGAAAGTTGCTTAACTTCAACAATCGCAGCTAAACGCGCTAACCACTTGTGCCATCGAGCTCCTCATACGGACTTCCACATGGACTTACTATGGTCAACTAAAATAGTTTTTTAGGAAGTATTATAAAATATTTTTTTATATACTATATGCCTTGGAAGACAGTGTAGCCGTTAGTATCCACTAGCGATATGTTATAATCGCAGTTATAGTACGTGTCTAAATTTACTGTTCAGGTGGTTATAGTGTCGCTATATAATTCTCTGCTGAGAGCTGTATCGCCACCAGTAACCTTAGCATGAACCAATATTGAATTCAAATAGTTGAATTAATTTTTAAGTACTTTTGTATGGAAGATTTTTAACTCTCGTTAACTCCGTTGTGGCGTTCTTAAAATTTCCATACACAACTTCTTGACATTTGACGGGTATTGGTTCGTGCTAAGGGTACAGCTGTTGGTGATAATTTTATTATTATTTGACAAAAAATCAAATAAGCACGTAAATCCTTAATTTTTTTATATACCATGAAGTTAGCCTAGCAATCATAAGTATCCCTTGTGATTCTAAGTACCGTAAAATACGGACGTTTCAACCCATAACACGTATTCTCTTGTCCCAAGGGGAGCAGGAAAGGGTTGACATCAGATACGGTCTGAACAGACACAAGCTTCCGTCGCCCGCCGGGCGCTATCGACCGCACTGAATTCATCGCATATTCCTACCTTCGAACACTTAACCTTTGCTGGAAACCGACGAGGGGCAAATTGAATTAATAACAATTCCACTAACAAATTTGATTTCCGTTTGCCATCATTCAATCACAATTAATAAAAGCGAACCAGTAACTCCTCTTTTAATTAACTATCAATGGTACAGTATTAATTATATTTCGCAATTATGCTCAAATATAGAAGAAAGGCTCTAAGGTTCCACGGGGTTTGGGATTGGGTCAGTGTAGGCAACACGCTGCGAGTAATGTTTTCGGTATTGCAAGCGTCTCTAGGCTATGGTGACCACTTAATATCAGGCAGGCCAAATGCAAACATGCCACCCTTTTGACATATAAAAAAAATAAGTTAAAAAGTTTTCACATAATTTTTTGAAGCAGTTTTAATAAGTATAGAAAATGCACACAATACACCAGTATAGAGCTTAAGTTAAATCAAATATAAATAATCTTATATGGGCTTCCAACTCATTACTACTTAAGTATCTGTAACTTACTACGTATATAATAGGTACTTATTAGCAACTTATGCTATGTATAACAGCAGTAATTAAATCAACAACATTTTCGTTCTGAAAGTATTCGGAATTGCAGAGAAGGGCACAATGGGGTATAAAAAACTACAAACATAGTAATTAAAAGCCTCCAGCGATATAAAATTTGAAATTGGTTGAAAGTGTCACAGTCTAGGCGTCAACATTGCGTGACTTAACTTTATAAACTGCAGCGATGTAAATCATATTGCGTATTAATTATATTCAATTAAATTTGAGCTTTATGTCGAAGATAATAGATGCTAATACAATATTGCAAGAGTTTAACCTTAAATGTATATTTTTGAAACACCTTATTTGCAGCGTTTATTCTCGAAACTGTAGCTCAATGTCTGTTCGATTTTCAACCTTGTGTTGAAAAAGGACAGTCTAAAATATCCTACATTGAGTGAAACTGCCATGTTCGTGTAATGTTTGCAAAAGAGTGTAATAGTAGGTCGCATATACGGTATCATTAATGTTCATTGTCGCACGCTTTTGAGTTGTAAACGCGGGCCCTCAATATCGTGTTACTCATCAGCATCTGAAGATTTCGCTCGCTTACTGTTATTTGTGTCATCACATCATATAATTATGAGGGAAGGTTTCCTACTGTTTTTTAGTTGTTACTGTTTTTAAGTATTTATTGTTGTTTTAGTTTTTACTGTTTTCAAATATGAAACACTTGCTCAAATTCTAGCAAAAGATTATTTTAGCTTGGACTACTAATTCTGGAAATTAGAAACAATTAATTTCGGAAAGGTCGACAACAACGTAGGATATTATGAATTAATTTTAACGATTCTTCTTAAAATCAACTCAACTCGCAAAAGCATTGATAGTGTAAAAATAATACTCTTAATCATGAAATATAGGAAAAATCAGCATTTACTTTGTCCTTAGAAATAGTGGCAATTAAACAAGAAAATCGTCTTCTATATTGCGAGTGGCCTTCTGCAGCTCATCAGTTCGATACGGACGTGATTCAAGAGTGGAGCCGCTCGTCAAAGAAGCGTATATGCACTAGTTTTTTAACAAGGAAGCTGCATCTTCCCCTTCTCAAGGGTCATTCGCATCTGAAGAAGCCTTAAAGGCCACTCGGGTCAGAGGCAGACCGTACGGGTGTTTTTCAGTCAGTAAGAGTCTGACATAACCCTACAGCTGGCTGTGGGGTATCCATGAGGATTTTTCAACCACTCTTGGACAAGAGGAAATAAAATGCCTTCCTGATGGTAAGCCGCTAATACTTATAGCTTAATTATACGATACTAAAAAGCATCCATCACTCACACATTGTCTATGGTCTTTCATTAACGACTGTTGTTTACACGGACTCCGAGCTAGTGCGATACTTATACTAGGCCTTCTAATCAAGGCATTGCAAGACAAAGACAAGCATATCGCACCGTCTCGGTCTGATAAAACGACAGGGAGAAAAAAACCCTTGCAGAGTTTCTTGACGGTTCTTCGCCGTACAAGTTCACCCGCCGTAGATTTGCGAACCGATGGCGTAGCTTCTAGACAATCATGAGTGCTTGTAACAGCCTAAACTGAATAAAAAAACATGGTTTTGAATATAGGCTAAACGGTATGTTATATTGAAATAATTTAGCACTTATAAATGATTTTAATGCATTCTTTAATAAAGTAGAAAAGAAGAAGAAGAATTTTAATACTTTCAGTACTAATGTAATTACTTCTAACCAACTAAGGAGACACCAAGTTGGGCGCCAAAAAGTTTAAATAAGAAAAACGTGATCATATAAAATACTATCTGCTTTGATAAAAAGGAGAGGAAAAAAAAACAAATCAAGCCTGGTGGAGCATCCAATGCATTATGCGGAATGAGTATCAGCTCGAACAAAAACTGTGATTCAGGTCGGTCATTGTCTGGCGTGCCATTGTAAACTCTGTGGTTTGTAGCAAGTAGCTTTTGCGCGGGAGATGTGAAATATTTCGTAATTTCTACTTCGTTTTATTTAAATCAAGATATGGCATTGTTTGATTTATTTGTTGTTAGTTTCCAGTCCGGGTAGGCCAGATGTAAGCAAAATTTAATAATATCTAACTGAATTTCTTTATTTGTCACTTTATATTTTTCTTTTCTGTCACAGGATATAGAAAAACACAAAGTGTACATTTCTATAAATGATATTTATTTTTTGTACCTGTTAAAGGCATTAAGTTAGTATCCCATCACTTGGTCAAATATGGCCTCGTTGGTCAAGTATGGTAACTATATGATGGAATGTCACATTTTTTATTTAATTTAGATTTCACCATCTCTGTTCACCAATGAAAACTCAAACTTAAAATTAATTATTTAGTTTAGGCTGTTACAAGCTCTTATGAATATCTCGTAAAGCTAAGGCCTTGTTCTGGGAAGAACCGGCAAGAAACCCAGCAAGGACTGATTGTTATTTACAGAGTCGTCAACATGAAAAATGACTTCATAGATGATTCATGAAGACACTTTTCATTACATAATGTGAAATATACATTAACTCCCTTATCGATAAACGAGGAATAAGCTTCGACAAGTTACGCCATGTTTTGTTCATATCACTTAAATGCCATTTGTAATTCAATGACCACAGACAAAATATAGAGTAATTAATCCAAGACTATTCTTCGTTTATTAATAAGGGGGTAATTGTTCACCTACATTTTGATTGCTGTGATATACAGTATAAATAAAGGTTCCAAATCCCATTTTAATCCTTCACAAGCACTATTCAGTATTGTTCTTGAAGTTGTTTGTGCAATTCATTGTGGGAAGCGATGCAACGCGCCCGTGTCGTGTGCATTGTGGCTGCGGTTTCGGCCGCAACTCCGCAACGGAGCATACCATTGTTCTACTTCAACCCACACAGACATTTTGCGGATTAATATTTTTAATTTGAACACAATATTGTACAACTTTTAATTTTAGCTCGATTTTCAAAAGACTGTTCGCACGAGCAGTACGGCTGTTGTGTGTACTGGTGTAAAGTAAAAATTGTTTCAAGTTAATTCTACCATTAATAGCATTATACAAAAAAAAGGTAAATTTAAAAAATCAAAAAACCCGACTGCTTAATTATTATTCAAATAAAAACTGAAAAGAAAAAAAACAAGTCCAGTAGTCTATAATTCTGTTAATAAGGAACAAAGCTACTTTAACAGTCGGGACCCATTAGATATTCAAGAATACATAATATTTTTCAACAGTGGGTCCCGACTGTTAAAGTAGCTTTGTTCCTTGTTAACAGAATTATAGACTACTGGACTTGTTTTTTTCTTTTCAGTTTTTATTTGAATAATAATTAAGCAGTCGGGTTTTTTTATTTTTTAAATTTACCTTTTTTATTTCACACTTTTTAGTTAGTTAGTATTTTAAGACGGTATATACCGTAGTCTTGTTACTTCAGTAAGGGAATTAATATCGCGGGAATTATTAAGTACCTTGCGTCGGTCTAAAATATTGATTTATTAAGACATATAAAGACTTTACCCGCGGGGTCAAGGCTACAGATGGGCCTCAATTTTCGCAAAAATGTGTGAAGTTAAATCAAGTCGATACATAAATATCTCTAATGTATGTAAATTTTATAGTAAACTAGCACTTACTCAAAAAGTCATCTTTTGTTTATGTTTTTTTTTTAATAGTTTAGCAGTAAATATAAAATTCATTTACTTTTATTCGTCGACTATTTAAAATTGGCAGTGGCTGCATTGTCATGTCAATGCCGGACGTCTAAGATTGTGATATACACAAATTCAGTGTCAGTCCCTAGTCTCATAATTTGATATACCTACATAATTCACAGAAAGCCAATATGTAGATGCCAGAAGTTAACTACAAATGTTTTTAATCAACCTATATACAATACCAATCAATGACGTTTATGTCACAGGTTGAAGAAAGCAGTAACTCACGTCTGTTGTTTTGGACAATGGTGGCAACTGCCTTAGATCACTAAATTAAATAATTATGCAATCACCAAAGCAAAGTTTATAATATTTGAATAAACTAAAGGTGCATAATAAAATTTTCATAACGTTAGGTAGAGCACCATAGCAATCTCATTTATTATCAATTTATAGTTCTCTTTGTAGTTTTCTTTTAAAGCGGTGCAATCATGGCAATTATTTTCCAAATTTTTTTTTTGTTATAAAAATACCGAATAACGTATCACTGTTAAGCACAAATGCTAAGTAACTTTTACAAATATAATCAAATAAACCTATTACTTACTTTATTTTTAAATCTTTTTAATCAATTAAATACTTATCTTATCCTAACTATCTATACTAATATTATAAAGAGGCAAGATTTGTATGTTTGTAACAAATAATCTGTCAAACTACTGAACCGTTTTCAAATATTAATTCATCATAAGGTAGCTACATTATATAATATAACATTTTTCTTTATTTAAATACATTTTGTCCGAGTGACATAGGCTA